ACCAAAATATGGTAAAATTACAACTGAAGGATACATTCACCAAAAAAAGACCAGATTGGAAATTAGATGAGAAGATATTAATTCCTGAAGATAATAGAGAACAGATTGCAAAGGCAATAGATTCATATTGGATAGACAATGATAATGATGGAGTTCCATCTATGACAAAATGGTGTGCATTTAAAACCGTTATAAGAGGCCATGTAATTAGTATGGAAGCGCACGCAAAATTAAGTAGAGGGAAATCTTTGTCAGACTTATATATCGAATTAAATGAATGTAATAAAATAAATATATCTTCTCCTACGAGTGCTCTAGCAAATCAAAAAAAGATTCTTGAAAGCAAAATCAACGATATTCTAATACTTAAAGCAAACAGAAATTTACAATATATGAAAACTAATTACTACTATAGGGGGAATAAAGCAGATAAACTCCTTACTAACAGAGTTAAAGCACAACCAGAGGCCAAATTAATACATAAAATAAAATAAGGCCATGATGTGATAATGGATCCTGCTAAAATTGGTGCGGCTTTTAGAGAATATTATTATAATTTATACAATCTGCCAGTAACAGCAACTCAAGAAGATATACAAAAGTATTTCTTAGACAAACATCTGCCTAGATTAAACAATTCCCAATTAGAACAACTGAATGAAGACATCTCAGCTCAAGAAATTACAGATGCTATTGATGCAATGAAAAAAAACAAAGCTCCAGGCCCAGATAGGTTTATAGATTCCTTCTATAAAATGTATAAAGACAGGCTTGTTCAGAGAATTAAGGAATGCTATAATTCAGCTATGACCACAGGTAAATTACTAAAAGAGATGTTGGCTGCCAACATTGTCCCCATCCTTAAACCAAAAAAAAAATCCAGAAGAGAGAGCCAACTATAGATCAATCGCTCTATTATTAAATAATGACTATAAAATTTATGCATCAATCATATCTAAAATAATTAAAAACATAATTTCTAGTTTAATATCAGAAGATCAAGTAGGATTTGTCCCAGGGAGAACATCGTCTAATCACATTAGAAAAACTATAAATATATACGCTAAGGTACATGCTACAAAAAACCCCTTCCTCACTATGGCTCTCGATGGAGAGAAAGCATTCGATCGGGTCAGCTGGAATTATATGAAATCAACTCTAGAAGCCTTTGGTTTCTTGGGCCAGATCCTTTCGGCAATTATGGCCCTTTACTCCTCCCCATCGAGCAGGATAGTGGGGGGGGGGGAATTAGGTCTGATTGGTTTGAGATCTCTAACGGTATGCGCCAAGGCTGCCCACTCTCCCCACTCCTTTACTTCTTAGTGGCGGAACCACTGGCATATGACATATGTTCAAATGTTAATATAACTGGTTTCCGAAATAAGGATAAAGAGTTCAAGATAAGTCAGTATGCTGACGACATATTGTTAACTTTGTCGAATCCAGTTTTTTCAGTGCCAGCAGTAACGGAGAAAATAAAGCAGTTTAGTCTTCTCACAAATGATAAACTTAATATTCAAAAAACAGTGGTATTAACTTTACATATGGAAGCTGCTGATTACTATATCTTAAATAAACAATACGCTTTTAAATGGGAAAAGAAGGGCTTTGTCTATCTCGGGATAAATATAGCACATGATCCAGTAAATATAATGAGAGCCAATATAATCCCTTTAATAAAAGAAACGACTCATCTCTTAAAACAATGGAGTAAACTTGAGATAGCATGGTGGGGAAGAGTCAATTCCATAAAGGCTTATATTTTCCCTAAGAAAATATACCTATTAAGGATGATTCCGATGCCGATACAACCATACTGGCTCACACTTATAAATAAGATCTTCAGGAATTATACAGTCAGGTCCATAAATATTGGGACATCGACACAATTCTAATCTTTTTGACTCTATACACCAACACAATGGGTTTGAAATGAAACAAACAAGATGTGCTTTAACTGCAGACTTTCAGCTTTAATTTGAGGGTATTTACATCCAAAGCAGGTGAACGGTGTAGGAATTACAACAGTTTGTATATGTGCCTCCCACTTTTTAAGAATGCGGCTCTTCAGTCAGTTTACTCCACAGCCCATTGTTTAAATATTATGGAGGTTCATTATAAACTAGTAAATAGGTGGTATATGACAACGGCTAAGATACGAAAGTTTTCAAACTCTGATAGCCAGGGATGTTGGAGACGTGGTGCAGAAGATGCTGATGAATTGCATATATGGTGGAACTGCATACCGATAAGGAGAGCTTGGGATTGTTTTCTAGTAGAAATTAATAGAATACTGGGTATCACATACAATTGGACACCAGAGACATTACTACTACATTTAAAATTACCACAACTAACAAAAGATAAGAAATATTTTTTGATTCATGCATTGATAACCATCAAAATGTCTACCGCTAGAAATTTAAAAAAAGACGACAATAGATAAATGGCAACAATGCAAAGAAGCTATCAATAATCAATGTAAAATGGAAGGAGAGATAGCCTTTAATTTTTGTATTAGTATGCAGAAATATAAAATCTGGGATAAATAGATTAAGATTAGAGTTGAGTGAACCCTGACTATAAAGTTCTGGTTCGTACCGAACATTATGTTTTTTGGACCCCGAACCCGAACACGGACATATCACTGTATGTTCGGGTTGGAGTTCGGTGTTCGGCAATTTAATGGCGCGTTTTCAAAGGCTGCAGGGCAGCCAATCAACAAGCGTTTGACTCGTGTGCCTTTAGAAGCCATCACAGCCATACCTACTAATAGCATGGCTGTGATTGGCCAGTGCAGCATGTGACCCAGCCTCTATATATAAGCTGGAGTCGCGTAGCGCCGCACGCACATGTGGTCTTATTAGTGTAGGGAGAGGATGCTGCCGCTCATAGGGACAGCTTAGGAAAGAATTCTGCAAACTAGTACATTAGTGGGGTGGGGTGCACTTCATATCTAAGAGTCAAATAGAAACTTCAAATACCGCGGTTACATCGGAGTTTTAAAAAGTTAATTTTTTTGGTGCTAAATATTACATTAGTGAGATAGTACATTAGTGGGGTGCACTTCATATCTGAGAGTCAAATAGAAGCGTCAAATACTGCTGTCACATTGCAGTTTTAAAACTTAAAATAATTTGGGTGCTAAACTTCTAAATAGTATTTTAGTGGGGTGCACTTCATATCTAAGAGTCAAATAGAAGCATCTAATGCTGCGGTTACAGCGCAATTGTAAACATTCTAATTGTTTTGCTGCTAAACTGCTAAATAGTAAATTTTGGGCATGCTCTTCATATCTGAGAGTCAAATCAAAGCGTCTAATAGTGTGCTTACAGCGCAGTGGTAAACATTCTTATTTTCTGGGTGTTAAACTGCTAAATAGTACATTTTGTGGCCTGCTCTTCATATCTGAGAGTCAAATAGAAGCGTCTAATAGTGTGTGTAGCGGAACGCCAATATTAAATCCACGAATTCCGCTGGTTCAGGAAGTAATCCACAGTCAAGCGCTGGAAAAAGCAAGGCAATATCCCAAACCTCCCAGTAACCGGACGAAACACAGTTCTGAGAGTCAACTGTGGTCTTTATTTTCAGCTCCACAATTTATACAAGTCCCCATGCAAGGGGTTTCCTGAGTCCCCTCCCAGGGGCATTCCCAGAGGGGACTACGTGGGGGACTTACTGTACAAGACATTTCTCCCAATTTACATTTCATACAATTTACATTAAAATCTATAACTTTTCGAATATGCAGTTCATTTAAACGAATGGACGTTCGGTAGATAGCTGGGGTCTGAACGGATCATTCGTGAGATTACCGCTCAGATCCCAGCTAAAACAACCGAATGCCGCACGAAAAACACATTCATTAAAATACATGTTCAAAATACCGATTGCCTTCCAGGGAACAAAATACCGAACGGCCCGGCACTCCCGAAGGGCCTGAAAGCTCAGCGGTGTTATCAATAGCTAAGAGATACTTCAACAATATTGTAATTCTGGGGCAATACCCTCACAAGTCAAACTGAGAGGTCAGTTTATAGGGATACAATTCTAAAACAATTTCCATATGTCCTTTGCAGACTTTACATGCTGGAAAAACACAGGTGCCAACTGCTGTGGCTTTCTGCAGTGTGCATACCGGTAAGGAGGGCAGGGTTGAGGAGTGGGTGGAAGATGATGTGGAGGATGATGAAGTCCTAGACCCCACATGGAATCGAGGTCATGTGAGTGATGTGTGCAGTTTAGAGGAAGAGGCACTGGTCGCACAGAGGCACCAGCACAGCATAAGAGGGAGCAGAGTGCAAAAGCGGAGCGGCCGTCCCCTAGCGCTCGTCGGCATGTATTAGCTTGAGAATTACCAGTTATCCAAGTAATACATGTAGTGATCAAAGGATCCATAATAGAGTTGAGCGAACCCGAACTGCAAAGTTCTGGTTCGTACCAGATTTAACGATCCATTTCATAGTTTCACAGTCAGGTGGGCAGTCCGGTGACCAGGACCCAGACACTATCTGGGCGGCGGTCGGACGACCGGGACCCAGTATGCATGATGTTGAAGTTAGGTGTCACAGTGTGGAATGGATTAGCAAGGTCTGGTGCAGGGTAACCGCATGCCCCCTGGTGTTGAGCACCAGTGTTTGTGTGGCCACATACCAAGACCCTAATGCAGCTTCAGTAAAAAGAGTACTGTATACCAGAAGCCATCACCAGACTGATCCGCAACTTGGAACAGGATGTGACATTCACTGTAGCGGCTGTGCGTACTTTTAGCGTTCTCACCCTGCTGCTGCTCGCCTGTCTGCGTTGCAGTGTAACTTCGGCCCTCCCACTCACCGCCTCATGAGACTGTGCAAGCAGGCGATAGTGAAGTTTCAGCTGCAGCACGCACGGGTCAGTGGCTCTACACCAGACTTCCCTTCAAATTGATCAGAGTTAAAGAATTTCAAGTGGACTCATTACTATTATAGGGCCTCTAAAGAGTCCTGTATTGTTATTTGTCGTCACTACCTTCCCGAATCGAGAGTGGGTCATTTGCGCGCCTGCTTGCATGTGGTACCCGTTTCTCAGGGTCCCTGTATGAAATGGAACCCTGATTCCCCATTACCCGTGGTCAGGCGCAGAAACTGGCATCGAAAGTTGATATGGATGACATCCGCATGCAAAGTCGCCGCCACGGGGATGTGCGATTGGCCCGAGGTTCTCTAGAGTCAACAAAGTGTCTGCTCAACTATAACGTCAACAGCTACTCTGCAGAACAGAGTTGGCTTTTTTATATGTCCCAATATTTTGGGGGCTAACCTAATTAAAATAAAAAATATACATATAAAAAACAGTGTTGGCTACCTCATCCTCCTCCTCCACCGCTGCTTCCACCTACACCGCCATAGTCACCGCCTCCTCAACCTATGGGTCACTTAGTATAAACTAGGTACTCATTAGCAGAGGCTTTTGAACAGGGCCGGACTTGGGATACAAAGCAGCCCTGTGTAACGGATCGCCTGGCACCCCGACTGGGTATTCCGTTAAAGGATGCTCCTAGCGCTTCCTGAGGACTCCAAGCACTGCAGCAGACACCACAACCACCGAACCGGAGAAGCATATGAATCCTCTCAAGCATAGGAATGCTGTAGATAGTTGAATAGGAACCATACGAATAGGTTTACTCTCCTAGCAGTCAAACTGGAACAGCATACAATAAATCCTCCCCCAATAATGAGACGACACTTCACTTTGAGGGTTAAGCAGGAACTCAAGTGCTGGCACACCCAGCCTGGTTTTTATTACAATCCACAAAACATAGTACTGCCCACAGGGTTTTGCAGAACCACCAATAAACACATTACAACACATACAATGCAAGTACAGCAGCCAATCAGACACAATGGGAAAATAGAAACACACCCAGCATATTCCTCCCCTCTGCTTAGGAGATAATTGAGTCAATTACTGTATCTACTCAATTATCTCCAAGCTGAAAAGTTACTTTTTGTACATTTTTATAACTTTGTGAGTTAACATCGCACATACATAAAACTTATATTATTTTAACCAGTATAACTTGGGGACAAACATATCCAAAATTCACTTGAATAGGTTCAGGGGTTTAACGGTTAGGTCAAAGTCCTTTGCTTTTACTTGCAAGCATGATTTTTCCTGGCAAACCAGTTCCCACTGGTTTGGCAGTGTCCCTGGGACAACACCCTGGAGAACAATGGATCCGGGGGAGGGGAAGAGGAAGTGTCCAAAAAGTTTCAGTAAGTCCATTCACTGTGCTTAAAGAGCCAGTAGCCGCACAATAAAATACAATATGCCCAAATATTGCATTCAAAAGTACAACTTTACCAGGGGCCATAGTCAGCAGGAAGGAGGCGGGCAGCCAGGCCTCTCCAATGCCAGGTGGCGAGGCGGGTTCCGCCACACCCTGGCTGAAAAAATATATGCCAGCCCCATAAGTCATTGCGCCAGATAATTGAGTAAATATAAATATATATATATATATATATATATATATAGCTATTTCTAATATAAAATAATGGTCCTTTCAGAGTAAAACATTTAATTATACAGTAAGCATACTTACACAAAGACACAGACAATCTCACTGACACACACATGCTCATTGATACACAGCCTCATAGACAAACAATCTCACTGATATACATAAGCTCACTCACTAGCAGTCTCACACACACACCCTTAATGTAGTGGCTCTGGTGTGTATAGCCTGTGCCTGCAGGCTTTTCAATGTAAACACTGACTTTTCAGAGAAAAGGCAGTGTTTACATTGCTTACTAGTGACACCTCTAGTGATAGTCACTGAGAGGGTCACTAGAGGTGCTTCCTGTGTCACCTGCTGCTTTGTCAGCATTATGGCTGTAAAAGCATTATGGGAGATGTAGTCCTTAACATTTAGAGTGCTGAAGGTTGAATACTGTCAGGATTACTGTTTGATCCAGCACGTAGAACTGTACAGCACGGATGACAAATAAGTAACGTATTACCGGTCCTTAGAATGGCCGGATTTAACGTACAAAGAATAGTCAAAAATACTAGCGAGGTCAGGGAACACAGAAAGGGACACAGCGATGAGGAAAGCCAGGAGTCAGGATACCAGAATATAGAGAAGTCAATAAACAAAGCCAAAGTCAAAAACCAGGTAGAAAACTATAAACAGGAACGCGCTCTCGGACAACCACAAGGGAAACCACGACAGGGCACTGAGCAGGCTGAGAACTGGGCCTAAATACCCCTCCTTTAGTTCTGATAGGCTGTAACCTGCCTTTGACCCCAAAGTCAGTTACCAGGTTTCATTTGCATAATTGCTGCTCAGCATTAACCCTTCTGTGGATTAGGTTGCTGCTCGGCACAACTTTTCCTGTGTGGACAGTAAATGTCATTAATCACTTTTCTCTAAGCGGATGAATACATGACACCACGTTTCATTTGCACAATTACTGCTCAGCATTAACCCTTCTGTGGATTAGGTTGCTGCTCGGCACAACTTTTCCTGTGTGGACAGTAAATGTCATTAACCACATTTCTATAAGCGGATGAATATGTGACAAATACCCATTGCCCTAACGGATGTCCAAACAGCCCTCACTTCCCCTCCCATTAGTTCTGTAGTTTTCATGTTGTGTAATTTTGGGTTAGCTTATTTAGTTAAAAGAAAATGTATGCCTATGTATACACAAAGTCCCACATTAAAATAAAGTAGTATATGGTGCTGTGATGGGATTTCAACATGGTTCAAAATTTAGTAATCCTGAAATCTCCATGTGGCATATACAAGTACAAGTGTTTGTTGTATCTGTTAGTTACATGAAGCTAAGATACTGTCATCAATGTACTGAACATGTGCATCAACTGTAGTCACATTCCTTTGTCCTTGAAAGGAGTCATACGGTCTGCCCATATTAGGTGATCCTGAATATCCTGTTCACTGATTGGTCTAAGGGTATGTGTGAGTGAAGCTATGAATGGGAGGAGTTATTGTTAATAAATAGCCTGTGCAAACTATGCTCTGGGCTCATGCCTTTTGAACACAAGTTCAGTGTGAGATCCGATCGGTGTGTAAATAAAAGACCTGTTACTTTCTGAAGACTTGTGTCCATATCTCTATGTGTGGCTCCTGCGGTTTGTTCCTGTTATTCCTCCGGTAACATTTTTGGTGCAATGGGTCCAGGAACCTCATCGCACGGAAGCTGGCGCAGAGATTTGAGATGGTAAACTTTTTACCAACGTTCTTCGCGGCTACACCCGTGGACTTCTACCCTTTGTCTCGGCACCACTGGTCTGTTGTCCAGAAGATCATCGGCTTCTACGCAGTGAGTACCCGGGTGTCCCGTCGATGAGTGTGAACCCAGGTCCAGGAACTAAGAGGTAAGACTGATACCGTTAGAGCGGTAGGCCCACAAGGGGTTTTATATTTGGAACCGGTTATTTGATTTCCCCCTCCCTCTGGAGGGAAGAAGCGCATGCGCTCCGCTTATCTGGAAATTAGACACTCTGTAGTCAGCCCATCTAATATAGGTGGTTTGGGTCAGGCTAAATCTTGGTGTAAATAGTTTATGCCGGACACCGGTTTCCTGTCTTGACTAGCGTGTCTAGGTGTAAATTTTGGTCGCTAGGTCGGGGTGGCCAGCGAGACTAAGCAGATTCTGGTGTACATTCCGTCTGCTAGCTCTCAACCTATCTTGGCTAAGTGTGCTCTGTTGTAAATTCAGCCACTAGACTATTTATAGAGTAGATAGACTAAATGGGTACAGTTGTAAATTCCGCCCACTAGTTCGCTATATGTGGTGCTTGGGCAGCGTAGATTAACCGTATCCTGGTGTAAATAGTTCGATAGTTCTCGAGGTACTGGCCAATTAGAGTAGTTGGGTTTGCTGTAAATGTTGTTAAATACGTTGTAATTGTTGAATTGTATGTCCTGCTGGAAAGCTTGACCTCTGCCATTTAGTGGACGTGTAAATTGTGTGTATAGTGTAAAATAGTGCACGGTACCATAACCACTGACATGTACCATAACTACTGATATTACGTGAAAAATATTAAAATGACTGTTTAACCTTGCATGTGTACTAACTGATATTGTAACTTTAAAACCATAATTGTCTAAACTGTACAATAGTTACTAACCGTACCATAACCACTGACTGTAGAGACGAAATTGTTGAAATGTTATGTGATCGTTAGTTTATGTGGATTACTAGTGTGGATAATCGTATGGTTTGAATAATAGTTACATTGATAAGTGTATAGTCTTTGGTGGGTTTTTGATTTAATTTCGTGTGTGCGATGTCATGATATTGTTGAGCGTGTGAGGATCCTGTGCGTGTGTGTACGTGCATGTTTGGGCCTAGTAACTGTGCCGCGTGGTGGTGTTGCTAAGGTAACTGGTGTGACTGTTGAAACTGTTTGTATATTTTTACTGCTTTGAATCAGACGCTCTGTTGAAATCATGGGTGCTTCTGATTCACAAACGGTCCTTTGTCTTGTATGTTTTAAAAAAAAAAAAAACTTTTCTAAGGAATATGCTGTTTGTGATTATGGTGTAATACTGTCCCCCAAAAGATTAAAATACTCTGTGTAGCAGAGGATGGCCTGTTCTGGTAACCAGTGTTCCTGTGGATCCTTGATCCAGATTTAATACAGCAGGTTTACATTGTTATAAATAATATGCTGGGGCTATACGAGTAGTTTCTGTATACAGATTGTTGAAACACTGCTAAATGGATCAAGCTGTGCTAAGAGGAACAATGGAGTCCATGGTAGCCAGAACCTGTTTGTCCACTAAGGCCTTAATTCCACCTAGTTTGGACACCCCCCTTGCATCTGATTCCCAACCCCCTACTCTTCCTCCTAAGCTAAAACTGGGGTAGCTGGTATTTGCACTCCCCCTGCTATATTGTCCCCGCCTACCCACATACCTGTCTCACATAATTAAAGTCTATCTGCTTCATTAGACTTTAGGAAGCACTCTAGGGCCACCTACTGGCTATCTTCGGGAGTTACATTGATTTACATTGTTTAAAATATTAATGACCGTTTAATCATCCTTAACTCTATACTGGCATACAACAGACAGAAGTAGGACTGCTTACCCTATTTTAATATTTCTTGTCGTAAGGTTTTATTTTAGGTATAAATATATTAAAAGCCAAGTTTTATTGTTAGACCCATAAAGACTATTTTGATACAATTATACTTACCCTCTTGTGACACCTACTGGCAGGTTTTTGGTTTAAACACATTTTTATTTTTCAATCACCTAATGCTGACCAGTAAAATTAATTCAC